GCAAAACAACCAGTTAACAGGTTACTACTCATAACAGTGATTTTAATTGTATACTCATTGTATACTCAAATACAGGTCCTTGTACTTCAAAGCAAGGCGCAAAATATAAACATGTACTGGGGCCGTGGGCATAGAGCAGTGGCAGCTTGCTGGTCTACATGTGCCAGGCTCTACCTGGTGGGGAGAACACACAATGCAACCCAAACTGAAAACAGACGTATACATACTGACTACTGAGTTGTTACAAAGCTGCTGAAACTCAAATGACCTATGACCCTACAAATAATTATATTTAAAAAATTCAACCCAAAACTTCAATGTCCCAAATATTACTGGTCATTCATAAGCATAAACTCCAGTGAAGGCTGCTCAGCCCTGACACACCACGCTGAGCCCTCCTACCTTTAATTGCAAATGGTAATGTGTTTGGAGCTTGGAATTATTCAGAGTCACACTCACCACTAGAACTTTCACAGAAGCTCTGCGAGGTATGGGCAGAGGCCTTCTCCAGCTGCTTGGGTTCACCACCTGAGCCTGGCTGCTTTGCAGCATTCGCCACTTTGGAGTCTTCTGGTAGTGAACCATCTGTTTTCCCCGGAAGCTGGGGCTGCTGCTTCTCCTGGTCAGGCCGCGGAGGCTCGTCTGCTCTCACTAAGGGCAAGGGAGGCTGTGCGGAGTCTTCCTCTGCAGGTTCCTTTTCTGTAGTCACTGATTTCAGAACTCCATCATATTCTACGTTCTTCTCTTCCTGGGGATCTAATCTATTCTCAGCACATGCTTCTATTTCTGGAGCAACATCCTCCCAGGACTGAGAATCTGAGCATTTCTCCACTCCCTCCAAAGGTTCGCAAGAAATGTCAGCTTGGGGGGATGGCTCCTTCACATCTACAATGACCACACTTGAATCCTCAGAAGTGGCTTCCTCCCAAGCTTCCTGATCCTTATGTTCTAATTCTTGGTCAAGAATGGGCAGTTTCTGGGGGGAATCAATACTAATCACGCTGGTTTCAACTTCCATAGCTTCTGGGCAATCTTCTTTAGGGATTTCCTTTTGCAGACACAATCCCTGGGACTGAGTTTCAGTCAGAGAAAGGTGAAATGGAACACTCTCTACATGTTCTTCTTTGGGCTCCTCTCCATGACTCTCACAAGGAGTCTCAGGGATTTCTTCTACCTCAGACCCTGAAGAGCCATCTTCTGGATGGTGTTCTGTAACTTCCATAGCTTCCTCCTGATCTAAGACACTAGAAAGTGTCTCGGTCCGAGTAGCTGGAGAAGGAACTGCCTGACTCCCTGAATCACAAGTGAGATCAATACAAATGTCTTCTGTTACAGTCTCTTCTCGGTCTTTGAAACCAGCAGCTAAAATACTGATGTCATCCCTGTTCTCTGCGTCCCCTCCTTTTGTTTTATCATCATTCTGATTCAGGTCTACTGGGTCATCAGGTGCTGGATTCATCAGGATACTATCACGTTCAGAGGGAACAAGTTTAGAATTGAGAACTGGAGACAAGGGTTCAGTATCCTCAATCTGTGAGTTCTCTCCATCTTCATCAATCCTGTGAGAACTCAAGCTCTCCATCTTTGGGGACTGACTGTACTCACTTGTAGAAAGCATCAACTTGCAAGAATCCCCTGTCAAAGAGAGCCCAAGATCCTCAGTGGAATTCTTTGGTTCAGTCTCCGAAGTTCTGGAACGCTCAACAGTCAAAGATGAATTATGTAAATCTCCACCTTTCTTCTCATCATTTGATCGTTCTTCCAAACTTGGTGATGGGATGAAAATGTCCTAAGAATAAAAAGTACCAAATCATCATTTACTCACAATCTTTCCACCTACCTCTTGCACTCATCTATAATTTCTAAAACGATCATCCAAGAATTAAAGAACTCTAAGGACCATAACCTCAGTAATACAAAGCTCAGATTCATAGAAAACTGTCACATTCCTTTCCCATACAACCACTAGAATGGAATAAGGATAATTCAAACAAAACGCTAAAAGTACTATCTCACCCTTTTTCAAAGGTGAAAAAGACACTTAAATTTAATTGTACATCGTATCAAGCTGCTAAAATCAGGTCATGTTCGCGCCCAATTACAGTACACAGGAATCATTTGGACATACTGCCTACAGAGCCATTTCAGATCTCACAATGTGGAAATATGCACGCGTTTAACTTTCTTCTGTTTCACAGTACTCTGACATTCATAAAGAAGTATCAGAATTCAAAACTGTAATAGCATTAGTCAGCAAAAAAATTAAAATTAAAATCACACTTAAATGTCATGTAAGTTTGAAAAACAAAGGCCCAAAAACTTCACAACAACCATGACTCTCACATATTGATGATGGTGATGCAAAAAGGTAAAACCACTTCAGAAAACAGTATGATAGTTCAGTTACAAAGACTCAGAAATTCTATTAGTAGGCATTTACCTATGAGAAATAATGTTCATAGCTGTATTAGTCATAACAGTCCAAAACTGGAAGCAACCTAATGTCTGTCACTGATAGATGGATAAGCAAATTGTGGATATAGGCATCGTGGAATACTACTCAACAACAAAAATGGACTTAAAACATTAATACACGCAAGGCTCTGAACAAATTTCAAAAATATGCAAAGTGAAAGAGTCTACACACACGACATTATTTCATGATTCCAATTACATGAAATTCTCAAAAACAAAACAACTATACTGATAGAAAAAGAAGGTATATGTTTGCCAAGGGAACGGGGGAAACTGGGGTGGAGGGAAATCAACTAGAGAGGATCCGGATAATGAGAGAACTTTCTAGTTTAAAGAACCTATGCTTTACATTGATGCTGGTGATAACTACACATCTGTAAACACTGCCCAAATTCATCAAACTTGATACATTTAAATTTTAAAAATTCTATTTGATACGGTGGGGAGAACAAGAACAGGCTATACATCAAGAGCTGATTCAGCTTACAGGTGGGAAGACAAATACATAGGTTTCCCTGACTTGGTCAGGCAAGGGTAGATGCTGCTTGTACAAATCAAAATAGAGAGGAAGCTACACAAGTTCAGAGCGAGGACCTCGCAGTTCTCGCTCCTGGGCAGCACTGGAGCTTTGCCTCTCCTTCCCACTCCCCACAGTGCCTCCTGGGCAGCTCCTCCCCACTCTACTGGAGCACCTTTTCCAGAACACAGGACCGCAGGTCAGAAAGCCAATCCCATTGATCACCTCTACTGTGACCCCTTTGTGACCCAACATCCTTGCCTGCGGGGCACTCTGCGTTTGCTGCCTGCAGCCCCTCCTTTCATCCTTAATTATAGGGCTCAGCATTTCATTTTATGTAGATGATACCTTAATTTCTAAAAAGGGAGAAAAGAATCCAAAGGAGGATCACCTCAAGTTGAAGACCAGCCTGGATATATATAGTAAAAAATTTTTTTAATATTTATAGTTTTTTTTTTTAATTTATTTATTTA